GCAAAATAATAAAAATCTTAAAACAAAAAAATTACAATTAACAATTTAAAAAAAAAAAAATATTGTCATTCATGCTTTTTAAATTTGTTACCAACTAATTTGTTGAAAAAATTATGTTTGCACTATAAATATTGGGTGACTTCATTTGTTATTTTTAACAGTTTTTGTTTTGGTTTCAATTTAAAAAAATAGTGTAAAGTTTTATACAAAAAACACTATAAATCTATGGATTACATTTATAAATCTTTATGTAAGCAACTTGTTTTTTTTAAAAACACCTTCACTTGGTTTCAATATAGTAATTTCATTGATACTTGTAGTTTTGAAAATCGAGAAGAGGGGTCAGAGTTTTTTTGTGACATTTTATATTGAAAATCTGGTAATACCGATATTAATACGAGATATTAATCTTTATAGTGATATTCTCAAAGTTCGATTACACTAAAAATAATTAAGTACGGAGGTTCGGTAAATGCGAATTTTTTGCGATCAAAGTTCTCGTTCTATTTAAACTATGTTGCCAGATGGTCGGACAGCGATTAAACTCTTTTGACGGCCTTATTTAACGGTAATACTTTTAAAACCACAGGGTAACCACCGCCCCTTTGTGCCTTGCAAAGAACACGCAGGTGGCAATTTGTATACATGATTCCGACGGCCCATATACAAGCACTTTGCTCATGTACTCGAGCTATCTAATCTCTGACCATTAGTGCCCCGTTGCTTAACTTCCGAGATGCAAAAACATCACTTACGTTTATAACATCGCAGATGGGATAGTTTCTGTTGATTCGGGAACAGCACCTACAGTCATAATCGGTGGACTGAAATAAGAATCCATCAAATAAGCCAATGACATGTTCTTACTCACAGAGGACACACTATGGTAAGTCTGGTATGAAGGGAGTAAGTACTGAACATACCCTGACAGGGAAGGAAAATTCAATGGTGTCACCTGTATAAGGCACTGTACATCCTTCACCATTCAATCCAGCACATTTTATCCGACACATTTATTGAGAAAAACATTCGTCACATTTATTCTAGGTGAACGAGGTCAGTAAACCCCTTATTCTGTATCACATACATTTGACACCAACTCACACAGCAGTCACTCCTATAGTGAGTATATGTTGTCTTTTACGGCAACTGAAATTATCCCCAAATATAGATTTTACCGTGTGTCAGTCTTTTAACCAACATTTTCTTAACGGGAGTGTGGATTTAACCCACAGAAAGCACGTGCATTCTAAAGAGACCTCTCCAAATAACCAGGACAACCAGACAAAGTCCGAAACTCTGCCCTGAGAGCTACCCGTAATATCATATTACATGTCTCCCTGGTTCAAACCCAAGTCAAATCATTCCAAGGAAAGACCGAGGATACATTTGACACCACCATTTTATAGTCCCGGAGGACTAGAGTTACTGTTAGATAGTCTTTTTCCCCGGATCGCGATCACACCAAAATGGGGGAAGATGTCGAAGTGCTTTACGACTTTTTCATCCACAGGGTGATCTTATTTGACGACTCACCACTGCCCCTTTGTATATCTTACACGCAGTTGTCAATTTTTTACATAATTCTGCCGGACCATGTACAAGAACTTTGCTCAAGTACTCACTATCTAGTCTCTTGCCCTAGTAGACCCGTTGAGAAATGACAGGAATCATGAGTCAACCTCAATCAAACCCTGGCAAGGAGAAGGCAATCACTAGTTTAGAGCCAATGGAAGGGGCAATCAAGAAGTGGGAAGTTCCGATTTATGTTTTAGAGTTGTGGAAAATTGGGTCCAGCTTATTCCCTCATTCCAATGATTTCGCGCTGGACATTTGAATTAAATTATTTCTAAAATATTTGAAGAACTGTGTTTTATATTTAACCCCAAATTTGTTCTTGATTTCCGAATACGGAAAAGTATGAAAAGTATAAATTTTGAAAGTTTAAGTAATTTTCTGAGGGAGGACTTTTATGGTGGTTAGGGTTTTATATGATTTCAATATTTGTGGTCGACAAACATACATTTCGATGTGATGCAAATAGAATGGCAATATCGGCCCTTGTTTTGTAAATTTGATTTGTTTATCTGAGTTCTTAAAATTGCAAACAATATTTTCAAAGTTTCCTAATGACAAATCAAGTTCTAAATTAATTTTTAAAATTCTATATAAATTAAATACAATAATAATTGTGAAACTCGCATTTGTATGAAGTAATTTTAAAACATTATTTACCTTCATATGAATCACCTTCATTTAGCGACTTTAAAAATTCTATACAAAATATTTTTTAAATGTTTGTTTTATTAGAAATTATCATCATAATACTGAATGAAATTTCCCCACTTTAATGGAGGGCACAACAAAGAAAAGTATTTGAAGAGAATTCATCAATTGTTTGTGTCTAACAACAATCTGTAACAATCTTCAATTAGCACTCAACAGCTATACGATCGGGTATTTTACGAATATTGATGTTTTGTTGTTTTTTTTCTTCATATTCGTCGCATTGAATACGAATTATTTAGCAGTGCAACAGGTGTTTGAGAAGTAAGAGCAGAGAAAAAGATAAAACAGAGACATGTGTTTAAGTTATTATTAAGTAATAAGAACTGATCTAAGTTCGGCAGTAAGTGATGATATTGTCGGTGCTGGTATGAGTGACAGCGGCGGTGTAATAGATACATTTAAGTTATTTTATTTTTCACTATGTAAGTGGGTGGTGTTTAGGTTACGAGGGTGTTTTTTGATTTAATCACTAACTAACAAAGAAAAATTTTAAATAATTTCCAACAAAGCGAAATGTGTTAATTTAGTGAAATGTAATTAGTTGTAACATTAATATTCAGTTGCAGTTACTTGTTAGTTGTCAGAAATTGTATTACATATATGGGAGGGAACACCTTAGTGAATTTTACTTTTAGATTTTGATAGAGAATGTTCTCAGGAAGAATATAATAATTGCTGCCAAAAACAAGTGTCAAATATAAGGCAAAGCGAATATATAAAATGTGAAGATGTTTAAATAGAAAAATGTTTCTTGATATATGAAATTTTATACCCAGACTGTCATATACATTCGAATTTTTCTCTAGAAATGCGACACTGCTATCAGTTTTCAGATCGCAATGAAGTGTTCTTGTTTAATTCACAGGGAAAATATGATATTTTCACCTTCTAATAATATAATTCCCACATAGTTTAGAATATTTTAACTTGTAGCGTTAGAATTACAATCAATATGGAGACAGATAAAGAGAATATGATCCCTCGATGAATTGAACACTGAGAATATATGCAAAAAGAGAAAGAACTCACCAACTTGAGGGCACTCTTCTGAAGTTATGTATCAGATACAACTCTAAGGTTAGCCTTGCCAAAAACACAAAGCTATGGCCTATTTCTCCTCTCAAGTAGTTTTTTTTCAAAATGTCCCCAAACTAGCCCCGACAAGGACTCTGAATCGATGGTGTCCACAGCATTATTAGAAACCAGAAGGAGTCAAATCCTAAGAGCGAGAAGGTGATCACCAACCCACAAGAATACACTTTAATTGCCTTCTTCAAAGTGAACATTGCAAGGGCAAATTCAAAATTTCACTACACATTCACCAGAAATTGAAAATTTCACCAAAAATATTACATTTTTACGCTAAATCTTAAGTTTTCACTATAAATATTAAATTTACACGGAAAGTTTTATTAAAAATTTGAAATTTCATGAAAATTTAATTAAAATTTTATGAAAAATTCAAAATTTTATTAAAAATTAAAATTTTATAAAAATTAAATTTTATTAAAAATCAAAATTTTATTAAAAATCTAAATTTTATTTTTATTAATTTTATTGAAAATTCAAAATGTTATTAAAAATTCAAAATTTATTAATAATTCAAAATTTTAATAAAATTCAAAATTTTATTAAAATTTCAAAATTTTATTAAAAATTTATAATTTTATTAAAAATTCAATTTTTTTTTAAAATTCAAAATTTTACTAAAAATTTATTAAAAATTCCAAATTTTATTAAAAATTTAAAATTTTACGAAAAATTCAAAACTTTACTAAAATATAAAATTTTACGAACAATTTAAAATTTTAGTAAAAATTCAAAATTTTAGTAAAATTTCAAAGTTTTAGTAAAAATTCGAAATTTTACTAAAAATTTTATTTTTTGGTAAATTTTCACAAAATACAAAATTTTCCCTAGATATTCAAAAATTTCCAAAAAAATTTTTCTCTAGAATTTCAAAATTTCACTAGAAATTTCAAATTTTTGCTAGAGTTTCCTTTTATATTTCAAAAGAAAGTTTAATTTTCTCTAGAATTACAAAATTTAAATAAAAACTTATTTCTTGTTTAATAAAAATCTAAATTTTAAATTTTTGTATAAAAGAAAAATAAAGAAGAACGACTAAAGATATCTAATATTGAAATCTAAATTTACAAGTCCAAATTCTAAAGCGCCATTTATTATATTAATATTCCGAAAACGTAAAGTAACGTGAGAAAAAAGCAGTGCAAAACCATTTGATATGAATTAGTTCAGTACCCCAATAAAACTGATTACATTATTTTTTGGACATTAAATGTATGAAATTTGTTTTTAATTGAAAATTTTGCACACTAATAATTTTTGAAATTTCAAAAAAAAAGAGTTGAAATGAAAACTAACAGCTAAACCTAAGGCAGATAGATATGTAGATACTTAAAAGTATAGATGGAAAAAAGATACATGATGGTTGTTGTTGGCTGTAGCTGAATTTGCCACTAAATGTATATCGTGGCTGTTGGCTGTTTGGTTGACTTAACTGACTGACTGTTGCCTGCTGCCGCACACATTTATTTAACTTTGTACAACAATATTGTTTTATTTTATTTTTTATATTGTTAATATTGTTGTTATTGTTTTTGCTGTTTTGGTTTTTGTGTTTGTATATTTTGTTGTTTTCAAGTTTAAACCTAGACTCTCAATACAATTTGGATTTAGTGGCGATTTAGCCAGCTTGAGTAACAGACGTGTGCGCGATTTCAAATTTTCAAATTCAAAACAAAATCAAAAAAAAAGTAACGATCATTTGTGTTTTTTTATTTTATTTTTGCTGCTGTTACTAGATGTTTGTTGTTTTGTTACAATTTTTACATAAACAAATCAAAATTAAATTTGTTTAAAATTGTTTTCTTGTTGGCAACACAACATACAAAGATTGCAGTTGGTGTTGTTGTCGAAAAATCATTTAAACGTTGTTTTTGTATAATTTTTTTGTGGAATTTACGATCAGTAGTTAAAGTGTGTTTTTTTGTATTTGTTTTGTTTGCTGTAACGAAACGTAATGTTTATTGTAATAAAATCAAACGTGCTCTAAAACAAATCACCTTCTACAACAACAGTAACAACAACTATAACAATAACAAAATAGTAAAAATCATGCAATGTAACAAACAGTTCAAAAACATTTCTGTCGTTTTAAGAAAAAAATATGCAAAAGTGAATTAAATTGAGTCAAATTGTATTCAAAACGTTTTGTTTTCAAATTTAAACATAAAAACGTTTTGTTGGATTTTTGTTTTGTGTTGTTGTATTTGTAAATTAATGGCATAAATAAAATTTAAATTTGTAAAATTCATTAAAAAAGTAAAACATTGTATTAAACACCCCAAAATAAATTTCAAATACTTTAATTTAAAATCTTTTTCAAAAAGAAGTGAAAAATCCTTTTTTTTTTCAAAAATTCTCAAAAAAAAATTCAATTTGTGTGTAAAAGTGTGTTAAGCAACAAATTTGGAAATCTAGTTTTTTATTTGTTACAAACGCCATGTATATCACCTTTAGGATATTTTCATTGTGGGCGGTAAGTGTTTTTTTGATATCTTAGTTTTTTTTAACACATAAATAAATATTTAATATCTATAATAATATTGATTGCATAATTATATCTATAACTATAAATATTGTTTCATAGAAAAAAAATCAAATAAAATTATTATTCTCACGCGATTTAAAAATTTTGTTTATATCGCTATTGGCTGTTGTTTTAGTTTTATTGTTGTTATTTGTAATTATGCAAGTTATTTGTTGAAATCATTAAAAGTTAATTGAACTAATTGTTTGTATATAAATTTTTTAATGTTTATGTAGCAGCGTTTGTGTGTTTTTTTTTACATTATTATTGGTAATAGTTGCTGATTAGTTTATTTATTGTTATTGTTATTTGAAATTGTTTGCCAATTTCGTTATTGTCGTTATTGGCATGCATAACGTAATGACATATGTTTTTTTTTTTCACTTAATTTTTTTTATTATTTTAACTTATAATTGTTGTTGTTGAGTATTTTGTTTAAAACAATTTATGTTACTGGGTCAGTTTTCCTTTGAATTTCTATTATAAAAGAAATTTATTTCATAATCGTGGAATATGGAAAATCATTAGTTAAGGGAGCAAAGGTATTAAGTGCCTTTTTTTCTAATTTAAATCTGTTATGCTTTAAAGACGGTTTTAAACTGTTCTATTTAAAACAATTAAGAATGTATAGTCGGGCTTAACCGACCATATGATACTCTACATCAGTGAGTATGTTAAAAATGTGTTGGATTCTTTTTAATTTGTTTTTAGCTTAATTCCGAAATGTTTTAACAATTTGTTGACACAAAAAGAGTTTTTCTAAAAGAGGGCTTATATGGGAGCAAGGTTAAATATGGGCCTATTCTTATAAATTTTGGTAGAGGGATTTACGTCTACATTAAAGTTATTCATGCAAAATTTCATTGTGACATTAGTGTTTATAAGTGAATTTTGACGTGGACTTTTTATGGGGGCTAGGGTCAACTAAAGCCTGAACGTTACGAAAATCATTTAGATTTATAAAAAAACTAAGTTTTGCCGATCTTCTTAGAGATACAATAACATTTAACATTATTTTGAACTCAAAAGCCCTGTACGAGGAGTATGGTTGTATGGAGGCTAGGCGAAATAATGGACCAATTTTAAACATTTTCAATAAACTTTTTCCTTGAATCAAAAGAAGAGTATGAGCCAAATTTCATTAATTTATCTTGAAAATTGCGACCTGTAGCGTTTACGTGGACACACAGACGGACGGACATAGCTAAATCGACACAGGAAGTGATTCAGAGCCGATTGGTATACTTGATAGTGTTACAAACATCAGCACAAACACATAATCCTCCCCACTATAGTGGTGTAGGGTATAAATATGCTTAGAGACCAAAATGAAAAATAAGTTTTTACAGAAAAAAATATGTTCTGAAAGTTTGATTTAATTTTGATTTGAATTTGTCACTTTATGTTTTTATACGCTTCACCTTCGTGAAAAGATTTCTGTCCGATCGTCCGTCCGAATGTTTATCAACTCTTTTCGTTATTCAAATATTTGGATCATTGTAATTAAAACCAGAAAAATTCCCGGGATTCATATATTATATCGTTCGGGATACAAATATTATATCATTCTAATGAAAACCATCAAAATCCGAGATATGAACAAGATTCCAAAATTGTTTCCATATTTTCGAGTTCCATAAATAATGATGAAATCGCTAGTTTCCTGGTGCCGATTCAGAAGTCTGAAATGGTTCTAAATGCACTCCTTCTAGAACTAGGTTTTTAGAACAAATTCTAAAATATTTTTATTACAATATTAGTTTAGAACTAGTTTTAAATGGATAATCAGAGTCGCTCTTAATTGATTCAGTATTTACTTTCGTTTAGAACAAGTTATACACCGAGGGAAAAAATGGTAGAAAAGTACCCTGTCAAAAATGAGCTTAACATTTAGACTACGGATATGTAAAAAATTTAACAACCAGTTATCATTTTGATAACCACCGTTGTTGAAATGACAACGTATCGTTGTTAAGATATTATCAAAAGTAGGGATTTTTGGGGGTTTTACTATATCTTAAGCCTTTATATCAGTTTCAGGGTTTTGAACGTATCAGAATCCTAATTCAAAAAAGAATTGAGTTAATTCTCTGGCATAATTTAAGAATTAGCTCCCGTAAAAATTCATGATAAATGATTTTTATATTGATTAATGTGATATGATTTCAAATATGTAGTTGCAACCATTTTGATCGAATACAAAATTTTAAAACACAAAATTTTTTGCCAAAAATTAACATAAAAATGCAATAAATAACAAACTACCATAAAAAATCATTATGACCTTCAATAATTTACATTTTAAAATTGATATAGCAATGTAGGTATTTGTCAAATGTCCATCTTATGATTTTATAAGTACTAGAAGTATTCAGATTTATAACCCTTCATTCAAGTCTCTTTAGTTAATAAACAATTCGTTGCAGTTAATTTTAACAATTTTTTATAGTTTGTGGTCAAAACAAATCATTTAATAACTCATTTTCAAAAGCAAAATATTTCCGGAATTCCCTATAAATGGCAAACCCCCCTACTGTATAACCATAAAAATAATCAGGTTAAATATTTCTATAAACAAAAACCAAAAGTTTTCATAATTAAAATAAACAACTAAAAAATGTTTTATTGTTTTAAAAATTGAAAGGAATAAAAATCAATATAAAAACGATTTATTTTGCATAAAAATCTCATAAATCTCCTTTTCACCGAATTTAAAAAAATATAATAATATTTGAATTTCTAAAAACAGTAGAAGAATTTCTTAATGCTTTACAAATAAATAATTTAAATTTTATTATTTATTTATACTTTTTTTCTTTCTATGTTTCTACAAATTTTATTTAAATTAATTAATTTGACAAGTTAACAAGTCATAATCATAAGAAAGATGTTTGTAGTAAATATGTATGTTTTGGTTAGTTTAAATAAAAAAAAAAAAATGTTAATGAATTATTCATGAAAACAAAAGCAACAGTTTTGTTTTGTTTTGATTTTTTTTTGCAATAACTAAGTATGTCTGTAGGTTTTACTTTTTTCATTTGTTTTAAAAAGAAATTGTTAGTGTTTTTCTATTAAATTTTGTTATTGTTTTAAGAAATAAGGTAAAGCTGAAAAAAACCTGAACGATTTGACCCATATAAATACAGCCGATTATTAAAAATGATTATCTATGACAACATAATAATGAAAATCAGAAACAAAACGCGAATTAGCAGAGAAGAATTTAAAAAAAACGTGACAAACGACCTTTAGAAAAATTATGACTCATTTTTTTTTAGATTTTGTTGTTTGTAATACTGGGATTGTTGTTGTAATGTTTGTTTTTAATTATAGTTATAAAAATTGTTAGTTGTTCTATAAATTGAGTTATAAAAAAATATAAAAACAAAAACCTTAAACTTCAGCACGATTTTGGTGGTAACCATTTAAAAGAATTTTTATGCCAAACTGTGTTTAGTTTTTGATTATTCCGTTAAGTGTTATTTCTAAATATTTTTAGAATTTTTATTTGTAGGCCTAAATTTTTTCCAGAACTTCCTCTACAATCATTTTGCTGAATGGTCAAAAAGGTCTAGTCAGAGCTGCCAGATTTGCCGATTTTTAACTTTTAAAAGTGCTCTTATGTCAAACAGACATAAGTATTATAGTTTAGCCTATTCTAAATATGGTGTAAAATCTATAATCTGGGGTATAGTCCGATCTAAAGTCTGGCCTAGAATCAGTTTTATATATTGTTTATGTTCTGATCAATAGGATGTTATGGTCCACAGTTGCTCAATAGTATGGTCTCTAGCCAGATAAATTCCCTACTCTATAGAATGTTCTATAGTCTGAAGTATCGTTTATAATTTGGTCTATAGTTTGATTCATTTTCTTAGTTAGTTCATACATAGTTCGATCTCGAATCTAAAAACTAGTCTAGTCTATAAACCAGTCTATAGTGCGGTCTATAGTCTAGTCTATAGTCCAATCTATAGTCTTTAGTATAGTCTATTCTATAGTATCTTCTACAGTGTAGTCAATAGTCTAGTTTATAGTCTATTCTATAGTATAGTATATATTCTAGTCTATTGTCTAGTCTATATTCTAATCTATAGTCTAGTCTTTAGTCTAGTCTATAGTCTAGTCTATAGTGTAGCATATAGTCTAGTCTATAGTCTATTCTATAGTCTGGGCTATAGTCAAGTCTATAGTCTAGTCTATAGTGTAGCATATAGTCTAGTCTATAGTCTATTCTATAGTCTGGACTATAGTCAAGTCTAGTAGTTAGTTATTTATTTATTTAGTTAGTTAGTTAGTTAGTTAGTTAGTTAGTTAGTTAGTTAGTTAGTTATTTAGTTAGTTAGTTAGTTAGTTAGTTAGTTAGTTAGTTAGTAGTTAGTTAGTTAGTTAGTTAGTAGTTAGTTAGTTAGTTAGTTAGTTAGTTAGTTAGTTAGTTAGTTAGTTAGTTAGTTAGTAGTTAGTTAGTTAGTTAGTTAGTTAGTTAGTTAGTTAGTAGTTAGTTAGTTAGTTAGTTAGTTAGTTAGTTAGTTAGTTAGTTAGTTAGTTAGTTAGTTAGTTAGTTAGTTAGTTAGTTAGTTAGTTAGTTAGTTAGTTAGTTAGTTAGTTAGTTAGTTAGTTAGTTAAGTTAGTTAGTTAGTTAGTTAGTTAGTTAGTTAGTTAGTTAGTTAGTTAGTTAGTTAGTTAGTTAGTTAGTTAGTTAGTTAGTTAGTTAGTTAGTTAGTAGTTAGTTAGTTAGTTAGTTAGTTAGTAGTTAGTTAGTTAGTTAGTTAGTTAGTTAGTTAGTTAGTTAGTTAGTTAGTTAGTTAGTTAGTAGTTAGTTAGTTAGTTAGTTAGTTAGTTAGTTAGTTAGTTAGTTAGTTAGTTAGTTAGTTAGTTAGTTAGTTAGTTAGTTAGTTAGTTAGTTAGTTAGTTAGTTAGTTAGTTAGTTAGTTAGTTAGTTAGTTAGT